TCTGTCCATTCCTAGCACTGCTTTAGCTGAGGCCAACATCAGCTCTGATCAAAGGACCCAAAGTCCAATTAGTACCAGCTCTGTGGCAGACTTTGCCAAGCTGGACATAATTAGAATTTTCAAGAGAATAAAAGTTACATTTTGCTTGATTTTCTTTTCTTTTGAACAAATCTAAAAGTGGAGAACTCTTCCTATAACTGAAGTGGTTAGGTTGTGATATTGCCATTTAAAAATGTGGTACAATTTTGTCTCAGTTTCTTAAACCAACAAAGACATTCCAAAAACTTTCTACTAGGCCTATGAAATTTGACCCTTACAGGATAATGGCAGAAAGGTCAAGTTTGTCCTGTCACCAAAAATGTGTCAGAGCTATCATTAAACTGCCTGTGTTAGTTTGGGAGGCCCAAAGGCACTGGAGAATTCCTCACAGTCCTCCCTGACCACACTCGCAGTGAGAAAGCAGCAGTTTCTGTTGCCCTGGCCTTCTGGGGCAAAGCTCCAAGATGGCAGTGTAGGAAAGGTAGCAGTGTCCTGCCAACCCTGACCATCACCTGGTCAGATTGGCTGAACTTCCTCAGAAAGTGAGTGCACATACACCTTTAGTTTTGTTTTGTTTTTCCATAATAATTGAATGCCAGAGTGGGTAACTTATAAAGTATAAGGGTTTATTTGGCTCACAATTCTGGTGGCCCAAGGTTGAGGGGCCATGTCTAGTGAGAGCCTTCTTGCTTGTGGGGGCTTTCTGCAGAGTCGTGTGGTAGCATAAAGCATTACATGGGGCATGGCAAGAGTGTGCGTGTCTCTCTCCTTCCTCTATAAAGCCACCAGTATTCAACCATGGGTCCCAACCTGATGACCTTACTGTTCAAAGACCCAACCTCTTAATACCATAGTTACATTACGTTTCCACCCTTTTAATACTATACAATAGCAACCAAATATCAAAACGCGTTTTGGGGAAGTACATTCAATCCACAGCATACTGTGTGTTATTTCCTTGCAGAAATAAGGGGCAGGGGGTTCAGTTGGGCTGAGTGGAGAATTCATGGACTTCTTCCATGGTCGAGGCCTGGAGCCTAGTTGTGTAGCCACCCTGGAAGAGAGAATATGAGGCAGACAAGGCCCCATCCTCAATGGGGCTCACTTTTAATGGGAAACAGGAAAGCCCCATCAGGAAGGGCCTCCTCTACTGACCCACACAAGCCAAGAGACCAGGCCCTAGACTACCCATTTCCCTACCCTCTCTGCCTTCTTTCATGGTGTTCCTTCTGGCACCCTGCAGTTATTGAGTTTGGGGAGTGAGTGCTCTACTGTCATAACAGGAGAGACAGAAGTGGACAGAAAATTAAGAAGAGTGAAGGCAGGACATATCCAGCCCCACTAAGGTAGGGATACTTAAACTGCCACAGCTGTGACACCCACAGGGTATCATCAAATCATAGGGCATGGTCTATATTTTCTGTGTCCTAATCTTTTATAAGGGTCAGTCATACTGGGTGAGGGACCATATTTTAACTTTCTGCATACCTCTTTAAAATTTCTGTCTCCTAATAGTCACATTGTGAGGCACTGAGGATACGGCTTCAACCTATGAATTTGGAAGTAGGGGCATAACAAAATCCAGCTCATATCAGCATCTATTCTGAAAATCCTGGAAACTGGGACTGAAACATGGGAACCTCTGGTCAGTAGCCACAACCCATTTTTCGATGTTCCTTTAGAAAAAGTGCAAAAAACTTTCAAAGTATTTGTCTCAATTTATACCTTACTTTGAATTCTCACCAGTCTTGTAATGCTTTCATCTATCAACTGTGCTCAGGCAAAACAAGCGCCGGCCTCTTCCAGGTGCAGAAAAGGGCTAAGCAAGATTGAGTCTGGAGTACTGTACACCCATCTGATCAGCCTACTCTGGTAGAAACAGGCTCAGCCCTAACTATAAGAGCCCAGGAGTTTCAGGCTTCCACTCACATGATACAGGAATAGTCTCTGATCCGCTGTCAAGGCTGTGTCCTACAACTCCTAGGACAACAGATATGGGCAGGAGGGGAGGGACACAATCTGACTTTAATCGTTTCAGTGTTGCTCAGTAACTTGAACTGAGAGCCTTGAACTGGATAACTTCTCAGACACCTGCAGTTGTCTCAGCTCCGATCGCCTTCCTCTAAGTATAAACTGTAGACACCAGTAGAAAATCATACAGCAAACACAAGATCCTAAAAATGGCTTTACTTGTGACCTTTAAGTCCAGGGTCATTCGTGCGTCATAACCCGAGTGCAGGACGCCCCCTAGCGACTCCTTGCGGTCTCGGGTCACTGGGTCTCCGACATCCTCCCTCCACCGCCACACAAGAAAGCTTGCAATCCTGGGCGGCGATCGAGAACGAGACTTGCAAGAGCCCGAACGCGGAAGTGCGCCCAGACGGAAGTGGGCAGAGCA